ATGTTCATGTGCTTTTTTATGTGGCAATTTTAGACAACAATGATAGTGATAATAATAATGTGTTACAACTCTTTTTATATTTCAATGCATATAAAAATAACTCTTATTTATTATACTTATTTTACATTTAATATGATGAACATATAATAGTAGAGATGTGTCCAAATGTTTTCTACAAAAATTATGTATTTTTATGAATTTATCTTTTTAGTTTTTATTATTTAATTATAACACCATCGGTTGACCTATATTTGGCCTGTAATGCCAATACTTGCTTTGGCATTAGCATATATTACATTAATACCACAACCATTCCAAAATTTTATAAGGTATTATTGTAAGACAATCATTATTTTAAAGTAGGCCCCAATATTTTTCTACAAGTCAAATGACACACTATTTGGAGTTGCATTGTTTAAAATATAACCACTTCATAGGCCATAAAATACTATCTATGTGTGTTATCGTTCAAAATGCCAACAGGGTGTTTGTATCATGGTATAAGTGTTTTGTTTCTATTTGATTTGTGCATTTGAAATCATCAGAAGAGTGGATTATTTTGCATGATTTGCAATGCCTAATTTTTATCATTGTTTGTGAAAGAGCAACACCAATAGTTGTCACAAATTAGTTTGTGGGCCTTAAAAATAAAAAATATGCTTGAGCTCAAATATGTGAGTAAGTTTGTTTGGCTACTTGACCCGTGAATAGATATAATCCTAGTTCTATGTGGGTTGGGCTAGTCATCTGGATTTGGCATAAGTTAATGAAATTAACATTTTTTTAATTTAAAGTTTAAACATATTTTTATAATCAATACCGCACAAAAGATACTCATAAAATTTTGTTACACATATTATAATGTCTACATAAAGTCAATACATCAAGGTTTGGCGTTATAAAAAAAGTAAAGATCTAGTTTGTGAATCTTAACATGGTTTACAAAAGGTTGGGAAATGGCCATCCATCAAGAAAATTAGGGGTGGTGAGATCCATGCCAATAGAAATTGAGAGAGAAGGGACACAAAGTCTTGTGTCAATATAAAGGGTAAGGTTGTTACACTCTCAAGAAATCATGGAAAAGGGAAAATCGATAGAAAGTTTATAAGAATATTATGAAAAATTTCAATAACTATTTTGCAAGTTATTGTTTCTCAATTATAACAGTTGTTTTTGTTTTTCAAAGTAAAACCAACCATATTATTGAACAGCCCCAATATGGTTGGTTTTGTTTTTTGAAAATAAAAAATAGCTGCCACATCAACAAAAACCAATACAATTTTGTTGATATAGGGGTTGATTTTATTTTTAAGGCCCACTAAAGGGGTATTCAACAAAATATATGGTTCATTTTGTTTTAAAAAAAACTAGTACAACATAAAAAACAATATAATTTTGTTGATGTGGCAAATGTTTTTATTTTCAAAAACAAAGCCAACCATATTGCCCAACTCCCCCTCAGAGCCCATATTGATAATCATTACAATCAAATTGTTGTTCACATTTTCCTTGGGCATTGTTCTATATTTGTACTATGAGTTTCTTGGGTAGGGCCTTTATTTGTTAGTTTGCGTTTTGAAACTATGCAAATAAGTGCAAATGCAAATATGTAGAGTGTAAAGTGGTTCATATAAATTGCAAAGTTGAGTTAGTTTTGCACCGACAAATTTACCTTCTTACTAAACAGACTTTTAGTTGTAATGGATGCAAACACGAATTCCAATAAAGCATATGCCTTTTTTTATCAAAAAGCCCACTTGAATGCAAATTTACTTTTTTTTTGTAGATGTACTTTTACATTTTATTATCAATGTAAATATGCATTGGAAAATGTATTTTCTATCATTTGTCAATGCATAAATGTAGTGTTGCCAAACCCAGGCAAAAGTGAACCAAAGTTCAAATTTTACCCTGAACAAGGATTTACACTCCATTTACATCATTTCCAAATGCAGCCTTAGGTTCTATTTTCCTGATTGTGTTAAAAAAGACAAAAAATGGAATCATTTGATCACTAAAAGGGGGAAAACTTGTGGAGATATTGGATTGATCTCATAGCTTACAACACTTTTTTAGGTACTCGTTTTTTCCCTTGAAACCAGTTAATAAAGTATGGGATATAGCTTAGGGGGATGACCTTTTTTTGCTGATTTGCGTTGTGTTTAATGTTGCTAAAATGTTTTTTTCTTAATCCAAGCATTAGACAAATTAACCCTTTTCATATATTTATTAGGGAGAATGACCGATACCCCTAATGTTAGAACTTGTAGGTTTAATGCACGGTCGGGGTAGGTGTCAGCTCGGAATTGATGCCAATTCACGAGCGGGCATGGGTGCATAGAGTGTGGGTATCGGTCCATTTGAATGTTTATAGGCCTACAGTGTAAATTAGAAATCTGCATTGGGAAAATCCATACTTTTCCGTATTTGTTATTTATAAAATTCTGATTATGCCTAATTTAATTATATAGTTCATTTAACTTATTTTGTAGATAATGTTATTCACCAAACAAGTTAAAAGCTCACTACTATCGGCCAAATTAAATGGCTTTTTTTAAGAGAAAGCTTAATAAAATACACCCAAAATGTTTTTTCCTTAGTAAACCAAATAAGCAAATTTAATGGTAATGTTTCCTAACACCGGATGATTGTTCTTAGCTGGTCTTGTTCCATCCTACAAGCAAAATCAAGCAAAATTAATCATTAAAAGTAAATAAGAATCTGTATTATCAATGTAGTAATTTATATAATTTTGCCCATTCGGAGAAAATTTCTCTAATTTCAAATGGCAGCTAATGAAAATATTTTTTTTATAAATTGATATTTTGTTCATTTACAAAAACTATGTGGAACTTGTAATTTGGGTGGACATGAATTAAGCTTTGTATGAGTTATTTGAGTTCGACTTATAAAAAGCACAATTTGGTTCAGCCTAAATCAAGCTCGAGCTCAATAAACCTTGGTTCGGGGAAGCTAATGAGCTTAATCAAGTTTGGGCCAAGTTGAGCCAAGCTCGAACATATGAGCCTTTTGAATCAAGCTAAATTTGAGCTCAATTCTCTAGCTCAAATTGAGCTTGAGATTAAACTCGAGACTCATGTTTTTTTACCGAGCCAAGCACAAATAACCTGATGTTCAATTATTGGCTTGAATCCAACCTTGTAAATTGTAATAAAGTTGAGTATCGAGTGCAAGTCCATTTGTGATTTCTTTACTGCTTTTTTAATTCATTTTATTTTATTTGTATTATTTTTCACATCAACCAAATAGACCCTAAAGAAAGCATCATTCAATTCAAGAGTTTTTATGTGTTTACCTTGAGTGCTCTCTCCAACAAAATATATTCCAACACCCTTCCAACATCATTCAACACCACACATCTCATACATGATACATGGCAGGACTTAGTTTTATGGTGGGTCCAGTCTCATGGTGAGATGTGTTATGTCAGATCATGTGTGGAATGTGTTGTGTTGGCAGGAGATCCCAACTTGCTTAAGGGTATGGTTTATGGTGAATTCATATCCCCTACCAAAAAAATGTTGCACATCTCATGTATGGTGGTCCCAGTCTTAGTCTAAATTTCCTTCTCATATAATGGCCTCACACCCACTTCACATCACTTTGTAGCTGTGCATTTGGAACATCTTTCCATGAATGAAAACATATAAGTATGGGGGTATGAGTTCAGATATACTCGCCCTCCTCACACCAATCTCATAGCACATCAAGGTGGTACATTAGTAACACTTCCCATACCTGCATGCTGTGAGGAGCGATTTTGTGATGAGTAAATCCAAAATTGGAAAATATTATTTGATGTGCAACTTCATCATGCTGTGAGGTGGGTGTGAGACATTGGGATTCTCCGCAAGCAAAAATTCTACAAACACCATTAAACCATGAGAATCCCACCACATATTGAGGACATTAATTTCCCCATGAATTTAACATAAATGCATAGAAGATATTCCCAATGTATAGATAAATGCTATGAAAGCAAAGCTTTTCCTTGCAGTACATCGGGACTCATGTATGTCCAAGGATTATTATGTGAGGAATAAATTCAAACTCACTCTTATATATAACTAGTAGGGCCCGTGCAATGCATGAAAAAATTACAATAATTAATTAATTTTATTAATTGATAATTTGAAACATGTCAAGGGTTTTTTTAAGAGGTCAAATCATAAGGCTTAAAATTGTGTGCTTCATGGGGCTAACCCATAAAACCCCCAACTCTAGTACAACCAGCGATTTAGGATCTTAGAAATAAAAAATAGAAAGAAAAACTTGAATATCTGGAAAATCCTTAATAGATATGAATAAAATCCCGAAAGGCGAAATATATCTATGAATGAAAACCTGAACTCGGTATTATATATAGACGAAAAAAATCTATGATACAAGATATAATATGAAAAAAATTTTGATCAATCAAAATCCATTCATAAATTTTGATAAATAACACCTGATAGGTTACCACATTTATGATTTTAGGCATTTTCCGAGATATCTATCTTTTTCATAAGGTGGGATCTGTTCCTCACAAATGGGCGCCTCACAGGCACATCCACCGTGCATTGGGAACATCTCCCGTGATAATAACTAATAAGTACCAGAGATGTTCCCAATACATGGTAGAATGTGCGTGTAAATTGCTTGTGAGGCGCCAGGTGTGAGGAGCAGATCCGGTCTCCTTTCCCATATCATGGTAACTTTGTTGGAAGAGATCCCAACTCCCTGGTGGGTGTTCTCAACGGAGTTCGTTGGTTGAAAAAATGGTAGATCCAATTCCAATAACTCTATGAATCGGACGGCTAAGATACCAAAAAAGCACGATATCTTTACAAACTGATAGCCCATCAACCGGTATCATCAAGATTGACGGAGGGTTATGATTGGTCAGACTTTTTCCGGTATCAAACCTTCCAGCATCATACAAGTTGCCTTTGTTTAATCGGATAACCGACTTATTAGTGGCTATGAAGGGTGTTCCGACAAGATGGAGTGGAAAACACGCTCTTTTCAGCCCATCCAAAAACTCGGAAGAAACAAAACAAATGAACTCAGTAACTGTACTCAGGCCGGGAGCCGCTTCTCTTACCAGAAGTTCATAAAAAAGCAGCCATGGCGTCTGCAGCGGCTCTTCATTTCCCTACTCTCAGTCGCTTCAACCTCCCAAAACACCATTCACGGAGGAACACCAGAACCGAACTGTTTCCGTGGCCTCTAAGCATTTCCCAACAACCGTTGAAGCTCTTCCCGCCACATTTTTCTGGGACCCAGAGAAGATTAAACGGCATTCGCTCTGCTGCATACGTATCTGCTCCAGCTTTTGATCCGAATATTAGCGGTGAAAATCCCAAGGTTGAGGATTCGAATCCAATAATTACTGCTCAATCACCAACCGCGATAAACTGGGGTGTCATTTGGAGCCTATTGCTTCGGCACAAGTTAAGACTTGTAGTTTCAGTTGTTACACTCGTGGGTTGCACGACCTGCACTCTTTCCATGCCTATATTTTCAGGTAAGACATGGTTTGATGTTGAGAATTAAATACTTTTCGGTGCGGTTTCCCTGTTTTCCAGTTAAAGCAATTCACTAGAAATTCTTAAATCATGGAAATAACAAATCTGCAAAAGAGAACAGCATCTCATCTTGATAATTACATAAACGTGATATAAATATTTCCCTAATCACTGATTATATGACGCTTCTTTTATTTATTTTTAGTACTCCACGTATTGCAGGGCGATTTTTTGAAGTACTTATAGGGGCAAGACCAGAGCCCTTATGGGAATTGCTCAGCAAGGTTGGAATTTTGTACATAATGGAGCCAATTTTCACGATTATTTTCGTTATAAACATGAATATGATCTGGGAGAAGGTGATGGCAGCCCTAAGAGCCCAGGTTTTTAGAAGGATATTGATTCAGAAGGTATTTAACCAATTCTCTATTTTGTGAAGAATTGTAAAAGAATTTTTTTTCCTTCGCCATGTTGCCTTGCCACCGATTCTCTCTTCCACTCCGTGCAGATGATATCCTAATTTCTATATATCTTTTTCCAGTCTTGTCAGTTCGATGAGTTAATGACTAGTTGTTTTGGCCTTCATAGGCAATAATATGTACGAATTTAATATAAAGATGCAATCTTGTATATTAGTTAATGAAGTCTGCAAGTCTTCCCCACCCCCCCCCCCAAAAAAAAAATAATAATAATAATAATAAAGGATATTGCATAGAACATTTAGTATATGGCTGCAGTGTTAAGCACCCATTGGTCTGAAAGAAATAGGCAGTTGTTCCAGAATGCCTCCAATGATTTGGATGTTTTAATTGCTTTTTCTTTTGGCAGGCTGGTATCTTGGGTTTCGGTTGCAAAAGGGCTTCAATCCTCTGGCCTAGGGGCAAGGAGCTTATTTGAATTGTAACTTTGTATGGGGGAGCGGGGTGTGGGGGACTGATTCCTGCCCTTGGGCCTTGGTGGTGGGGGGTATTGTACTTCTGCTCATTCTAGAGTTTAATAAAATTACATTACCTTTTCTCAAGAAAAAAAAAGCATCTGATGTCTCCCCTTGTTATAGCAACTCTTAGCCCACTACAGGTAGGAAAAAAGACTTAAAAAGAAACCCACCGCCATTTCTCTTTCCTTCTAGGTCCTGCTTATCAATTAGAAATGTTTTAAGCAATTCAAGTGCATAACAATTTAAAGAGCTCTGCAATACTATTTTAAAGCTAAAGATAAACACACAACTAAAAGTTTAAAATAGTGAATTTATAGTCAACCAGGCAAAGTAGTTGTTAGTCAACCTAGTTGATCCTTAGTTGCCCTAGGAAACCATACCATTGGCATTGGTTGACTAGTTAGTCATGCATATAGCCCTTAACTGATTAGTCAATTGACTAATTGTTGGCTAGTCAATGTTTTGATAATGGTCTTTATCACTTCTACTGGTTGACGTTGATAACATTTAGTAACATACTAACTTCTGTGGCTAGATAAAGTAGAGTGTAACTAAACATTTGCAAATGCATATGCCAGATGCTAGGTTAGAAGAATGGGCCCATGGCATTCATGGTAGTAGTATTGTCTAATGGGGTTTACAAAAACAAGTTTTTGAGACTTGGTTAAATAAACATAGCATGAGCACATACTATTCATTGTAATAATGTTTTACAATGGGGTTCAAAGAAACTTGTTCTCGGGCTAGATTAAACTATAAAACAGCAATGATAAGCATTTATGTGTCCTGGTGGTGAGTAGTGATACTTCCACCAAAAATTAAACAAAGGTAGTAATACCGTATGATCCAGGTTTTTGAAACATTTGAGGATCATCCTCTACAGCTAAACTTCTAAAGACATCTGAATATTTTGGGTGTATTGAAATCACAACTTGCCCTAAAATTACTTGAACAATCTTATCCACTTGTCATCATGAAAAAAATGTTTCCTTTCTAAATGGCTTGTGTGTGGGTGGGTGGGTGAATTTCTATACCCTTTAATTAAATGCAGTAAACATGAGATAATTATACTCTTCACTCTTCTAAACATGAGATAATTACTTGAACAATCTTATCCACTTGTCATCATGTAAAAAATGTTTCCTTTCTAAATGGCTTGTGTGTGGGTAGGTGGGTGAATTTCTATACCCTTTAATTAAATGCAGTAAACATGAGATAATTATACTCTTCACTCTTCTATATCTAGTATGACAAATTTCCAGGCAAGAATGATATAATGGTAGGCCCTGATGCTCAAAACAAGGGATAGGTGGCAATTGGCAAGTTATGGGGGGTTGAATTTGTCTCCAAACCTGAGGTTTATACATAAAAGTAGACTAAAATGAAAAGTGCAATGTACATACACTAGTAGGTATTGCGGTAGTTTTGTTAATCAACAATAGGTGTGATTCAAAAGTTCAGTAAGGGTAATTTTGTCTTTTGCACTTAATTGCACACACCCACTCTTGTATTTTCATGCCAACACAAACTCTATTTTGAGCTTTAGCCAAATTTCAAAATTTTCTCCACTTTTGAGGCACTTTTCTTTCCTAGTGTTCTGCTTAAATCCCACATGGGATAATTACAGGAAAGTTTTGAACTTTTTACTAGGAGTTGGCCTTTGCCATCTCTTGGCTTGGGTGGTGGTTCATGGTTGGGAATCCTTTATCACACACATGTTCCGAACCGGGCTGGGTCGGGTCAGGTGTGGGTGTGGATTATTTGCCCACATATCTTTTATGACATGTCATTTTAAACTTCAACCATTTGTGACTTTTCCTTTTTACTTCAAACCAAATGACTTTTTGAATTTAAAACAAACGACTTTTCATTTCCACTTCAAACTAAAATCTGCATCTCTTCTTTCCATGGTTTCTCTTAGAAGAGTCACCTCCTTTCTCACTTGTAGAAATGTTTCTGTTTATACCAATGCTCGAGTCAGTCACTGCACACACATCATTCTCTTATCACACACCTGCTTTTATTGCCAAGTTGAAGATTGTTATTGTTCATGTAACTCAGTATTCCGAGTGCACGGTCACTGAGCGCCTTCCAAGGCTGTTGAATCCTAGAGCAGAATGCTAGTTTTCCTGTACTGCACTGGACTTGATCCAGAGGAGGCAGAATTCTGCTTAAAGGACAGTGTTTTAGACATGCATAATCCAATAAGTCCTCTAACTCCTGAGTCCTGCATTTACTGTTCTACCCTCTTGCACATTCATAGTAGCATCCTATTGCACCTATAACAGGTATAACATAGATCATGATATTGTTATGTTTAGATATTTTTATGAAGCCATTTTGATGTTGAAATGGAACCTTTGTTTCTTTAATCAGCTACAAGTTTCTTGGATTTCCTGTGGAGCAAGGAATTGTTTTAAAATACCTTTGTTGAGTAAAATTACTGCAGAAAAACACTTCTTTTCCTTCTTTTAGCAATTCTTATTTACTTGGTGAAGAAAGAAGATGCCTAAACTTCATGCATAATAGGTCCACAACATTACTTTCTTAAGTAAATTCTTGGCTACTGGCAATCAAAAACTTCTTTCATTTCTGCGAGTAGAAATCATTTTCTTGTGATTGATAAAAAAATCATTTTCTTATGCTAGTATTTTAGTTGGTTGCTCTGAAATGTGACTTTTTTATCCCTTACTGCAGGTGGAGTTTTTTGATCGATACAAGGTATGAACTTAATATCTGCATTTCCTTGTGTTCTTTTAAGCTATTTTGGAGCCAACTACAAGTAAAGATGTGATATTTGGGCATTTTCCAATTTTGATAAAGGTGGCAAACCTCTAATCATTAGTCAAGCAATACTTGCTTTAAAAACAAAAAGGTACTCTTATAATATTTGTCACCACAAACAAGGGTATCTTTTACCTTTTCACCAGGAATGTACCTCATTTGTTAAAAATAGATATTCTCATATCAGTAACCAAAGTAAAATAACTTCACGTATCGAGATAATGTGATAAAGTGATCTACTTTGTAAATTTATAATTAGGTCCAAGGAGTAAGTCATTGCATAAGAGATGGCTGACTTATGTGGTGAAAAAGGCTATTGATCAGTACAAAAGGTCTAGAAGGGAGGAGCTAGAAAAAATGGTTGCCTGGGGAATTTCTGAAGGAGGGGAAGAGGGGGATAGGAGATTAGTAGGTTTGGTGGAAGAGGAATAGAAGGGCTGTTAGAGGGGGCAGGGGAGGTGAGGAAAGTGAATCTTTTATCATGGAGTGTGACGGGATTGAGAGATGGGAAGAGGAGAGAAGTGGTTAAAAATCTTTTGAGAAAATACAGCCCAGATGTTGTACTACTGCAAGATACAAAGTTGGAGTCTTTCGATCTAAGGTTAGAGAATGAGATTTGGGGGTCAAATAGAGGAGAGTGGGCCGAGCTGGTGCAGTTTATTTTGTTAGGAGGTATGGAACTGTATCCCATCTGCAATTTTCTGGAACATTTGGAAGGAGAGTAGCAGTAGGACTTTTGAAGACAAAGCCTGCAGCCTGGACAAGATGGTCGCGGCTGAGGGCAGATCAGTGTTAGAATGGTTGCTGAGTCTTCAAGAATTCAGTCAGCTAGAAAAGGAGGATTCTGGAAATAGTTTAGGAGAGTTCCTGGATTATCAGATTCGTAAGTGGAGCTTGTTCTTTATTCTGGAAGTTGGTCTATGTATTCGGGTGATGATTTGTCACCCTCTTTTGTAACTTCTTTATCTTTAATTAAATTTTTATTTTACTTATAAAAAAATGCGTACAAATGCTGCCTGGTTGTGGACTTCAACAGAGTGCAACTTCTCAAAACAGTTTTGCCTAATCTTTGGGTACAGATGTTCTATCATAAGGATAGTTTTAAGAAAAATAAGAGTTTCTCAAACTAGTTTTTATCAGTAGAGTTATACTCCATTTTCCTCGATTGTGGATTGATTCTCACCCTAGTTCTTGTCACAAGTGGTCGGGACATCATGGACAGAGAAATAGAAAGCTTTTTGAAAATGAATACAGCACAGAAGAAAATACATTGAAAGGTTTATAGGGAAGATTGTATTCATGGGTAGGGGCTCACAATTATTTCAGAAATGGGGCGTATAGCCTTTTTTTTTTTATTTCAATACACCATTTGTATCTATGCATACAGAAAGGATGATGGTCTGTGCAATGTCTTGTTATGCAGGGCAGGTATATGTTTTGAAGTAATGAATACAATACCTTACCTTCTTTTTCTAAAAAAAAAAAGTCACAGGGCTAAGCTGCAGCTAGGGTTGCATTCGAATCGAGCTCTAATCGAATAGTGCAGGCTCAAGTTCGAATCTTGAGCTAAGCTCAATTAGTTTTGAACTCAAGCTCGACTAATAAAAAGTTCAGCTTGAAAGCTCATGAGCCTAGCTCAATTAGCATTTACATACATATATTATAGAATATAAAACATATTTTATAATATATTACGAAAATAATTTTTATGTAAACTATATTTTTATATTCTATACATATAATAATATACTATATATTATAATATGTATAATATATAAAAATATATTCATTTTTGAGCTTTTGAGCCAAACTTGAGCTCATTGAATATTTAATCAAACTCAAACTTGAACTCAAAGTTTAATAGTGTTTTAATCAAGCCGAGCCAAGACATATACAAGTTTGGATCATCTTGACTAGATTGCACCCCTAGTTGCAACTGCCTCTGCTTGATATTGTTGGGGTCTCACAACAACCACCCATAATATAAAATCACAAGGTATTTGAAATAGCAACCACGAGAAATCTAATAGCAGCAAAAATGATGAAATCCAAGCAAAGATAAATAAAAAACAAGCACCACAAAGAACACAAAGATTTACGTGGTTCAGCCTTACCGCCTATGTCCACGGGAGAGACGAAACCTGTTATTCACTATGAAAGAAATTGAGAAACAATACAAGTACCTTGTGGCTTGCAGCTCGAAGCAACCCTTAACCCTTGTACACCCGTTCTCCCTTTTCTCTCAATCCAAAGAACAAAATCAAGAGAAAAAACCCACTTTCATATCAAGAGCACTCTGTATTTTTCTCTCACATCTTCTCTCCAAAAGCCTTAACCCTACATACAAAAGAAAGCTTTTATATGTAAAACCTCTTTAACTTAAAGAGGGACCACACCAACTGTTAGATTAAAATTAATCCAACGGTTGTAAAATAAGACACAATCCCAACAATCTCCACCTTGACTTATTTTCCAACCACCTTAGAGATATACTATTTGCAAATATCACAAGCCTGCATTGGCCTTGTAAAATACCACCAACTACACATAACATGAACCACTCGGCCCTGATTCCACCTGATTCAAACAAAACGGCCAATGTACTTGTGTAACTGTACCCAAGCTAACAATCCTAGTTAATTTCAGAGAGGGACCTCAGTCCTTCTCTTCCAACAAGAGTCTTCCTCTCACCATCATCTATACCTTGGAAACTTGCAGCACTTGTCTCCACTCTATTTGCAAAAGAGACCCTCCATGTGGCCACACTACCTTGCGCATTCTGTTTCTAATATCCCATCGAGGTCTTGGGAACCACTGTACTCCCAAATAGATGATACAAATCCTTGCATTTTTCTCCCTTCATTAGGACCATATTGCCACGTGTGATTTTCATGGCTCCACCTACAGCAAAAACCTTGCATCCCTTGGATTCTAACCGGCTAAGTGATATTAGATCCTACACATTTTTGGGACATACGCCATACCACCCAAAGTGCAAACCACTCCATCAAACATTTTGATTTTCATTGTTCCAACACCTGTGATGTTACACATAGATCCATCACCCAAGGAGACCACTTGTCTTCCTCTCTTGGAACGTGTCAAAATATTCCTTCCTAGTGCAAATATGCATAGAACATCTATATTCCTTCCTCTCTGATACCACTTTGTTGGGGCCTCACAACAACCACCCACAGTATAAAATTACAAGGTATTTGAAATAGCAACCATGAGAAATCTAATAGCAACAAAAATGATGAAGTCCAAGCAAAGACAAATAAAAACAAGCACCACAAAGAACACAAAGATTTACGTGGTTCGGCCTTACCGCCTACGTCCACGGGAAAGACGAAACTTGTTCTTCACTATGAAAGAAACTGAGAAACAATACAAGTACCTTGTGGCTTGCAGCCTGAACCAACCCTTAACCCTTGTACACCCGTTCTCCCATTTCTCTCAACCCGAAAAACAAAAACAAGAGAAAAAAACCCACTCTCACACCAAGAGCACTCTGTATTTTTCTCACACGTTCTCTCCAAAAAGCCTTAACCCTACATACAAAAGAAAGCTTTTATATGTAAAACCTCTTCAACCTAAAGAGGGACCACACCAACTGTTAGATTAAAATTAATCTAGTGGTTGTAAAATAAGACACAATCCCAACATATATTTGCTTGCGTTGGTGAACATGGATATTTCATTATTCTTGTGTTTGACAAAAAGATCTAAGATATCCACTTGTAATTGTGTATGTTTAGATGAAAGGAAACATTTGCAATTAAAAAAGGGCCTTTTTAAGCACATCTTTTACATGAGTTGAACTTTTTGTGGCAGTGACCTAGAACATTGATACTGTATACTTAGTCATTAGAAGTCGTGCTGCTTATATTTCTTACTGCTAACAAACAAAAATCTTTCATCAATAACTTGACTATTCTCATATTAACTTCTGAGTTTCACTTTGTCAACTATTAAGGTCTTTCTTGGTCTCTTGGCATGATTGCAAATGTAATTTGTGAACTTCTTTTGTTCCTTCTTTATCTTCTTTCCCCAGTGAAGTCACTATTGTTTTATGGTAGGTATGCCATGTCATCAGGTTCAGTTACTTTTACTTTGTTTTGGTTTCAATCAGGTTGGTGAACTGAATGGTTTGTTGACATCTGATTTGGGATCTCTTAAAGATGTTGTGAGCGAAAACATCGCAAGGGATCGTGGGTTTAGAGCACTTTCTGAGGCAAGTAACTCTAAACTATGAAAGGCAATCTTTGTGTTGCCATGATTCCGTACATATATTGATTGTTAAAATGACATAACTTGGACATGTTTTAACTAAAAAGTCACAAATGATGGTCAGTCTTCTAAACCTCATCGTTTATATTGCGTAATTATGTTGCTAGTTGACAACTAACTTCTGTTAGGAGTTCTGAAACACATCTACTGTATCATCTATAGGAGTTTCAGATTTGTTCTATCACGGTCTTTTGATCTCATCAGTTTAAAATTTTGTAATGTGACCGTTGATTCATTCTTGCAGGTTGTGGGAACCATATGCATACTGTTTGCACTATCTCCCCAGCTTGCTCCAATTCTGGGACTACTGATGCTTTCTGTGTCTGTTTTAGTTGGTAATTCTTTCTCTTTGAAATTATTGTTGTAAAGTGTCTATTGCTTCATGTAGCTTTAATAAGTTGGTGTATACATGTACATATAGCATGTATACATGTATTAGTATAACACACCTTTCTATTTTATTGTTTATATAACTCTAACTTGGGGATTCTCTAAGTGGCACTTCATTTGGGAGCCTAAAGGTCACATGCATTTTCAACACCTTAAACCCATGGGGCACATTTCAGGACAAGAACTCTTGCCACATGTCCAAACCAAGATCATTTATCTTGGGCTATTGTTTGTTGAAAAGAAAGTATCTCAATGGTTAACAACTTGATATAAATTGATGAAAACCATGATCCCAATGGTTAATAACTTGATATCAAACAATAAAAACTCCAATAAATTAAGAGGTACAAGGATAGTGATTGGGAAAAAAGGATTGCCCATCACTTTAACTGTATAATGATGAAGTCTAAATGTCCTAGGAATCTTCCATGTGATACAGGGCCACATGCATTCCCATCAATACACTCCATCCAAGGGACAAGTTTTGGGTGAAAATTACTTGGCAAGTCATGGTTTATTTTTCCATTTGATAAATTTCACAAAGTTTGGGGTTGGCTATTGCTAAATGTATGTGCTACTTTTATTGATCCTGTTCTCTTTCAACAATGAAGTTGACTATAGCTATTTAATTTTGGAAATACATTAATCGCTCTTGGTTCAACTATTCATGTTTAATTTCTGCTGATTTTAACTATACCTTAAACACATAAGCTGTATACAAGCGCTCAACTGTACCTGTATTCAAAGCATATGGGATGGCCCAAGCATCCATATCTGATTGTGCAACTGAAACGTTTTCAGCCATCCGTACTGTAAGTTCTCAAAATTCTATAATTAAATGTTTTTTTCTACTTTTGGTGGATTTATGATATCCCTTTGTCAAGGAATATCTGTTACTTGCATATGTCATCAGACCAGAGAAAATATCTTATTGGGCGTGGGTGATAAAGCTGTATTTTTCTACATTTTTACGATTAACTCTAGTAATGATATTTGCTGCAGGTGAGATCTTTTGGTGGTGAAAAGCGTCAAATGTCAATGTTTGGTAAGCAGGTAAGGTTTGTTTCTTTATAGAGGTCGTGGATGTACAAATATTCTTGGGAACCATTAAGTTCCATTTTGTGCTTGCAGATTCGTGCTTACCAGAGCAGTGGCATGAAGCTTGGAACTTTCAAATCTTCTAATGAGTCTCTGACTAGAGTAGTTGTTTATATTTCTTTGATGGCCCTGTACTGTCTTGGAGGGAGCAAAGTAAAGGCAGTAAGCACTTCTACTTGATAAGTTCTTATCTTAACCTTATCTTCTTTTCATTGATATACCATATCTTACCTTTTCATTGAACATGTTTCCATTCCCCGAGGCAGGATTATAAGGCTTTAAATGGTTCTGTCTGATCATATAGTCCAGGTTTTGCTGTTGCTAAATTAATATTTGCTACTCATACCTAATCTATTATAATTGTTTAAGATGTTTGACTGCTCTGCTTGCAGGGTGAACTTTCTGTTGGAACTGTGGCTTCATTTATTGGATACACTTTCACATTGACTTTTGCTGTAAGTTATTCTGCATTTTGGTCATACCATTTCCATCCTATGGTGTACTATCTGATCTAATAAGTGGTCCAGGTTCAAGGATTTGTTAACACACTTGGTGATCTTCGTGGCAGTCTTGCTGCTATTGAGAGGATTAATTCTGTTTTATCTGGGACTGAAATTGATGAATCCCTTGCTTATGGTTTAGAAAGAGAACTCAACAAAAATGAAGTGGATGATGACAATCTCCGATTATTCTATGCCAATGGTTCCACTGAGAACAATCAAGCTCTAAATACTCATTACATGACAGCTTTAAAATCAATTAATAGTGGGTGTGCTCTAGCTTGGTCTGGCGACATTTGTCTTGAAGGTATTAAAACCTAGTTTTAAATGTCTGAGATTTCAATTTTGAATTTCCTTTTTTTATTTTTGCGAAAGGAAATAAAAAACACATCTTCCTTACTCATTATGTTTTTCTTTTGGTTATGGGGATCATTACTTGGTATAATGGTAAAATCTTGGGCCAGAAAGTGTTCTAATGGGGTTCAAGCCTGAAAGCGGCCACTTTGTGCAATTTTTTTTTTTTAACGCAAAGGTTAGGACTGTATCCAGTCTACCCCTCCCAAGGCACCAGATAGCTGAGACCAGAGTTGGGTAATGACATTTTTGTTATCTTTCTTTTTTTTTTTTTTTTGTGTGTGTGTGTGGATGTCATTTTGGGTGCATTACGATTAAAGAATGCCTTTTGGATGTATCTTTTTCGTCATTTCTCCTTTACTCAACATTTGACCATGTTGTTAATCCTGGAAAATGAAGGAAAAGAATGTGGGTAATTTTTAACTAGGGCTATTCATTGGCCGAAATCCCTGGTTTCTTTCAACTCTTTCTCCTTTGATGATATCTGGAGAAATTGGGCTGCAATTGCACACACTTCAGTTAGGAAAAACAGAACTGCAACAGGCTAGGTAACTCCATCGGAAGGGGTTATTAAATCGAATTTTGATGGAAGTAGTCAAGGTAATCCGGGACTGTCTGGCATAGGAGGAATCCTGAGGAATGAGAATGGCAACATCATCTCTTTTTTTTTTTTTCAGGCCCGGTGGGGATAGGGGATTCCACCAGAGCTGAGATGTTGGCCGCAGTACAAGGATTCAGATTGCCAAACAATTAGGAGTGGAGAACTTGCTAATTGAAGGGGATTCTAAAGTGATAGTGGGCACTGGGCTGGTTGTCAAATCCAGACTCAGTGGTTTGGAGTTATAGGGATCTCATAAAAAAAAAAAGTGAAATGCTTAACAACACACATGATGTGTAGATTCCAGTGGGTAGGTAGGGAGGCAAATGCCTTGGCTGATTTTCTTGCTAACAGGGGTCCTCTAGGGATCAGTTATTTTGGGCAGCTTTGTAATCTTTATTTCTGATCACTTGTAATGCTTAGGGGAGGCTGCATCTTGTGCCTCTCCAAGGGATGCTTGTAAAGTTTTATTCTTCTTGGTTAATAAAATTAATTCTCAATTATCAAAAAAAAAGAACTCCTTTCCATGAAGGTGCCATGGCTTGGCTGAGTCATTGTTGGTTGATGATTCACCCAGCAAAGGACTTGGCCATGGATTTTTTAAACTAGCTCAACTGACCTCTGTCTTGATACAACTGGAAACTGACCTGCTTCAGTGATGTTCATTTTTGACTTGCAACTTCTAACCATTCTTTCTGTAGTCCTGGTGTATATGGGTGAGAAGGTTGGTTTAATATTTTGAATATTGTATCTAATTAGCACTGCATTGCCTTTGGTGCCACAATTGTATTTTCTTTGGTCAGTCCAGTATTCCCTAGGATGTTGTGATAATATACAGGGATCTTAATTTACTCACAGTTTTCCGACTAATACCTCTCAATTTCTTTCACAGATGTGTACTTCTCTTATCCTTTGAGGCCCGATGTGGAAATATTAAATGGTCTTAATTTAAAGCTAAAATGTGGAACTATAACAGCTCTAGTTGGTCCTAGTGGTGCAGGAAAAAGTACAATTGTGCAGCTACTGGCACGTTTCTATGAGGTGTAGTTTCTTTTTCCATATAAATCCACTTTTTTCCTCATCTGGTGACTTGAGAGTTGATAGAATTCTAATATGTACTACCTGGCATTTTTAGCCAACAAGAGGTCGCATAACAGTTGCAGGTGAGGATGTAAGAACTTTCGATAAGAGTGAATGGGCCCGAGTTGTCTCCATAGTGAATCAGGTACTTATGTACATCTTCAAACAGTTGTAATATAAACATGTGGCATACCATTTTTGTCTTCTTTGCACTTCTGAAACTACCATTTTAGTTTGAGCATACAGTAGAAGTTACTCCTAAGAGTATACCTGCTTAAAAAAAAAAAATCATGTTATTGCTCTCTCTCCAAAACAATGGATGCAGGAACCTGTTCTGTTCTCTATGTCTGTTGGAGAAAATATTGCATATGGGCTGCCAGATGATAATGTCTCAAAAGATGATGTGATTAAGGCGGCCAAAGCTGCAAATGCTCATGAATTCATAATTTCTCTTCCACAGGTTTGTTACCCTTGAAATATGTTTCAGGTGGATCATACAGTTGTACCTTTTAGAAAATTTCTCATTTTTTTTGCTTGGCTTGAAGGGTTATGACACTCTTGTTGGTGAACGCGGAAGCCTGTTGAGTGGTGGACAGAGGCAGGTAATAGAGCTAAGTTTCAGGGATGCCTGACATCAGTGAAAAGAGATTTGAAATAATTGTATAAGGTATTCCACTCTTCCTATTTGCAGAGAATTGCCATTGCCAGGGCTCTGCTCAAGAATGCTCCTATTCTGATTCTTGATGAGGTATGCTTTCAGACATCTCCTCTGTCTACATGTGTTCTCTGAAATTGTTAAATTTTATGTTACTCTGCTGCAGGCAACAAGTGCTTTAGACACAGTTAGTGAGCGCCTGGTTCAGGAGGCTCTTACCCATCTGATGAAAGGAAGAACCACATTGGTGATTGCTCATAGGTTAAGCACTGTCCAGAATGCACATCAAATTGCTCTTTGTTCAGATGGGAAGATTGCAGAACTAGGCACCCATTTTGAATTGTTGTCTAGGAAAGGCCAATACGCTTCATTAGTTGGTGCCCAGAGGCTTGCATTTGAATGAAGCAGAAGGAAGATTATAAATTTATGCTCATGATGGCGAATCAGCATGGAAATGAACTGTAAGTGCAAATTTCTCCTTTTTGTATCCTCTACTGACCCCAAATCTGATCTCCCTGTTTTGAGTTTTCTTTTTCTTGCGAGATAGTCTTGCCATTTATGAGAGCAGAAGACTCGGGATAGAGGTTTCAGAAGGGATAATTGCAGTTTTTATTGGATAAAATCACTTTCATGCTGCCAGTATCTCTGAATTAAGTGCATGGGGGTTTCATCAGAACTTTGTTGTGTATTTGGTTGGTGAACAATTAACAAATAATACACAATTGCACCCCAAAACTCAATTGATGACCTTGGGAGGCATTTACAATGTGTTCTTGCATACTTAATTGGGGGCTGATACTTGTAAGTGCTGCACTTTCCCTTTCTCTTGTGGACAATGCCGCAATGGGATTTGTGAATTGTAAAGACAATTTAGACTCATTGTTGTATGAAAACCAATTAAATAAATGGTTTATACTTTCTTTTCCCTTTCTTTCTCTCGACTCCCTAGTCCCCACCCTCAAATTTCTGGTAAGGTAAAAGCGAATAAGATTAGTTGTGTGGGTAGACTCAATTAATGGCTTTAATGAAAATTTATTTTTAAGGTCCTATGCCAAGAAAAAAAGTGAAAAATATCCAATTGTTCTTGTCAATGATCATATTCACTTTGTCTTGCAAGGGAAACATTTTCAAGTCCAAAACGAACTTCGATGAGATCTCCACTTGACCTTTAAAATGGATAGGGTGTTGGTCAAATTGCATAGACCAGTTCTGAACCAACAAGAAAATAAACAGGCTACAGGCTTGGTTCAAAGATCTGACCCTATCATTAATCAAGCTTATTCGATCTGACCCTATAATTTTCGACAATTTTCGACAAGCCAATATCGTTGAAAGTTTCTGAGCATTCCAAAGGTCGACACGTAATCAGGTAGAATGTCAGCCTAAAGAACCTGGATTTCCTGCACTCAGTTTGGTGTGGGACGTGGTGCATTTCTAATTAGATTCAACCATGTCACCTTTTCAGGGACGTCGTTGCAATCTTCAGGATTCAATGTTGACGAAACAGAAGAGATTTTTCTGTTAATCATTATTAAGAGAAAAAAAATCAGTTATGAGCATACACCATTAACAAATGTTTTGTAGGAATAGACTGTTCTTCAGCCAAGGGGTGGAATTCAATTAAATTTCTATTCGTGAAATTTCTTGGCATTCAAATAGGTTTACAATATAGAACCCAGGAGACATTTTTCTCATAACCATTATTACTAGGAAAAAGGTGCCTGAAATTTTATAAATCTAAATCATTTAGGCTCCATTTGGTTTGTGGGATGGGGATGAGAATTTGTTTTGAGAGAAATAGGGGATGGGATGAAAAAAAAAAGTGGGATGGAGATTCCAAAACCATGGATTCAGGGTCGCACCAAATAGTTTCCATCTCCTTCGTCGTCTTCCTCCTCCCTCCCGCATGCCTCGTCCTCTGTCGACTCTCCTTCCCTCCTTCAAGCTCCGATTAACACATCTGAGCCGTCCTCTGTCTCTCCCCTTAACAAATACAAAATGCAGCCCTTTTCCCTTTTTGACTTTGAGCCATCGCAGCCCTCTGCAAAGCGAACAACGAACCTGAGCCACTTAGAGCCCTTTTACCATGTGGACCACCATGACAACCAAGAGACGTGAATGCTGCTTGGCCTACACCTCCAATATGGACTGCAGGGCCTTGCTATATCCTCAGCTGTTGCTTGGTGGGCACGAGGACACCCCAGTTGATGAGCTTGTGGTTCTTTTTCAGGGTGGTAGAAGCAACAAAGCAAGGTATTGCTGGTGGTGATGCTGCTGCACCTACGACCCCGACCAGCATTTTGTTTGGTTCCCTACTTCCAACTCGTAATAACCAGAGAGATCGTTGCCAATGGGTGAGGCTAACGATCTTCTCTGTACAGGTGAGGCTAACGATGAATGGGATAAGGCCACCGCTGCTAAGAGTTGCAGCGGCAGCGATCAGGAAATAAAGAGTTGCAGCAACAAGGAATGTGGCAGGAAGTCGGATGAGGAAGGAGAAATAGAAAATAAAAGAAAGAATGGAGGGAGAGAGGGAGAGAGAATGAGAGATCGTCGCCGCCGCTCCTATCTGGTTCGAACAGCGAGGAGAATGAACAGTCGATTCTCTGCAATACTTCAGTCCCTTTTACACTTTCCCATCCCATCCCATTCCATCCCAATAAAACCAAACAATAGAAAATTAAATTTGTAGACTTTCAAATCTCATCCCATTCCACTCAAATCTTTTCACAAAGCAAACGGAGGCTTAAGGAATCACCATCGAATCTAATTCACATAAGCACATGGATAGTTTAAATGTGGTTTCCATTCTACCTGTTCTAATTCGTTGCTTAATTCGATGCAAAGTGCATCTTGATGTTGTAGAATACTCGTGCTGTAGCATCACTTGTAAAAAATCAAGATCCAAGTGATAAAAAGAAGAAGAACATTGATGAAATCAAATGATTTTATTGAAAATGACTTTCACCCTTCATTGAAATTTGAAGAAGAAAATAAAGTCTAGAGATCTCTAGTTAACGGTACAATAAAGAAAAAACCAAGGTTCAGAGTTTCGATATAATCTGATATGCCAAATTGGGTGTATCGGACTTTCTATCAGCACTCTTTTATATTTTCTTTAGTTTTTCTTTTTCAAAATATGTTCACGGGGTCAGTTAAAGGCCTAATTACCCCCTGAAATAGGTAGTAACCTGAAACAAAATTTTTAATCTTGGAAAAAACTTCTGATGCAGCGCAATCCGGGCACTCCTATTTGGCAGTTGATTAGCTCCTAATTGGCAATTGACGGTACCTGAGAAGAAGACGGTGAAAGATTCCCGGGGGACTTGCCTGGTGGGAATACTCCGATGCTTTAATTTAGAAAACTTGAGAGAGCGGTAAGGAATGCAAAGAGAGCTAAGAGTGTAGGTAGCGCTAGATCAATGAAAGTTCGAGTAACTCAATATCCCTTTTTTCCCTTCGATCATGGGGCTTTTAAGTATGGGCGTTCTTGTCAAATCGGACGTAACTGCCATTGGACCTCTGTCGTAATCGTTATTTGCCAGGGCTGTGCAGGTAACCGTTGCAGAGTACTACCCAATCGGATGAATGACACGTCCCGAAAAAGACGGACACGCTACCACCTGTCGAGAGACGTGGGTGCAGTCTGTCGGGCTGGTAGGGACTGTGCCGTCAGTCAGGGGACGGGAATCAGTTAGACGAGTATGGTCTTGTCAGATAGAAGCTTCCTGAAAACGTCGCATCGTTTAGTAGCGAGTTGCCTTGTAGCGAGGTATCCTGTTACGAGCTGCCTTGTAACGAGCTATCCTGTTACGAGCTGCCTTGTAGCGAGCTTTTAAAGGTACTTCAAGGTGATTCTGCCTGAGGTTGCCTTTGGGGCAGTTCTCCTGCCTAAGTATTGGAGCGAGCTGGTTATCTTAACTTGCGAGTTGGGATAGGCTTGTCTTGGAGTATTCCCTTTCAGTACATTGAGGGTCCTCGAGCACGCGCTGTAGCAAGCTCATCCTGTAGCGAGCTGTCCTGCGAGCTCGTTACTTAGTCGCAGCCAGGCTGTTATGCTAAGTTGTCGCTTGCGTTGAGTCACGTCCACATGTCACCTTCTCAGGAGGTGGGGTCAAATCACCCTCCATCAATTGCCCCCCACTCCTCGAGCTAAGGATTCTACTCTAGCGCGAGGAGTTCATGGAGTGTGACAGGTGGATTTGACTCGAAATTCAAACTTGATTGACTCATTGCATTAAATACACACACGGAAGTCAGGGGATTTATAGACTTTTCGAATGCCAAAAAACGCGCCAAAGGTCAACCGTGCAGAAGCTCTTCAGACCAACATTCACTCCGGCTATGCTCTCGCTCAGAGGTCAATTATGCAGAAGCTCCAGGGCGAGCTCGACCAGGCCCGGGGTGAATTTTTTTAGGCTCGAAAGGGGAGCGAGGCCTAGGAATTGCTCGTCCGGGACCAGGAGGCACAGATCGCCTGGCTATCTGAGGAGAGCGCTCGCTACCGGGAGGAGTCGTCGAGGGTGGCAGCGGAGAGGGAGCTTCTTCACCAGCAGGTCCGGGACTTGGAGTCCACACTTCAGGATTGGACTCGGAACTTCGACACCATGGTGGAGGCTGAGCGACCTAAGGCGGTGTGGGACTTCAAGGACTCCCAGGAATACCATGACCCCCAGGTGGAGTACGGCTCGAGCTCCTACCGTTCTGGATTTAAACTATGCCGCTAGTCGTAGCGAGGGAACCTCGACCTCGGCTAGGATGACTGCTTCAGTACCATAGGTGAGGTTGAAGGGAGTCTTGCATGTAGCGGTCTTCACAGTGGTCCAATAAGCCCATAGAACACTGGGTAGCTCATCTGCCCATAGTCCTTTAGCTCGGTCTAACCGTGCCTTCAGCCCGTGGAGGATAGCTCTGTTTGTGACTTCCGCTTGACCATTTTCTTGAGGGTGTGCGACTGAAGTAAAGTTCTGTCGAATTCCCATGTCTCGACACCAATTCTGGAATTTAATGTCTTCAAACTTCTTACCGTTATCAGAAATCAGTACTCGAGGTAACTCGAAGCGGCACACTATATTTTTTCAAAAGAAGTTATGTACATTCCGAGCTATGATTGTTACAAGAGGTTCAACTTCTACCCACTTGGTGAAATAATCAACTGCTACTACTAAGAACCTCCTCTGGCCTATCGCTGGTGAAAACGGTCCATGTATATCGATCCCCTATTGTGCGAAAGGCCACGAAGTGGTGAGAAACTTGAGGTCAGCAACGGGCTAATGGTGGATATTGGCATGCTTCTCGCACTTGTCACACTTTCTAACGATCTCGATAGCATCTGTTTTCATTGTTGGCCAGTAGTACCCCTGTCGTAGCGCTTTTTGGGCGAGGGCCCTGCCCCCCAAGTGTCCGCCGCACAGGCCCTCATGAGTGTCGCGGAGCACGAGCTTGACTTCGGAAGGTCACAAGCAGCGCAAGTAGGGGAGCGTGTAAGATCTTCGGTACAGTCGTTCGTCTATCATGACGTATTTGGCCGCCTAACGCTCTACCCTTATAGCGGCATTGCGGTCTGCAGGGAGGGTCCCGTGTAGTAGGAAGCTCGCGAGCGGATCAATCCAGCTCGGCTCTGCTTGAACAACAGGAGCGACCTCCTCTGCCCCCCCGAGAATGCTAGGTCGAGGCAGGTTCTCTATGTACACGGTTCTCATGGTGCTATCACTGGTGCTGGCTAACCGGGACAGGGCGTCGGCCTCAGCGTTCTTCGACCTCGGGATTTGCTTGATGAAGTGTGACTGGAAGTTGAGTAGAGCCATTCTTACTTTGGCTAAGTAGGCAATCATAGTTGGTTCGCGAGCTTCGTATTCGTGTGCAACTTGATTGACCACGAGCTCGGAATCGTTGCAGATGACGATATGCTTGGCTTCCACTTCTTTGGCT